GATCTCTTCCAGTCAGTTGGCCAAGTGGTTGTTCTCCAGATTTCTTGGCACAACTTGGTGAGCACATCCACGGCAGCATCTGCTAGCTGATATATGTCAATTGGTATACCATCTATTCCGGGAGCCTTAGTTTTTGCTATTTTTTTCAAAGCAGCTTGAACTTCTGCCTCCATCACCATAGGCTCTTGCTCAAATGCTATTTCATTAAATTCTTCTGTATCTGCCAATTCCTTTCGATACAATGACTCAGTATAATACATTTTTAAAAAGTGAGAGAAAGAAAGTTCTATGTCTTAGAAGGGAGTGGGGTGGGAAGGGCTACTCAGGGACAGGGCATCATGGGAATTTGTTACAAAATGCCACATTACAGGTGATCCATGTCCCCTAAATTTTTTTTTTAAAAGTTATTTATCTTAGGAGAAATTATTATATATACATCAGCATTATAAATATATACTTACATATACTACTTTTTAAAAAACATCTCACTGGTATAAACCTCATATGCTGCCCTTATTATTCCTGGCTGTAGTTGAGGACACCCAACAGCCACTGCCAAACCCTAAAACCTACTGCTGACAAGTGCGTTCTCACTGTCAGGGACCTAGGTGGGCAGAGTAGAGTTGTTCCTGCGGGAAGCTGCACGTCTTTCTGAAGGCCGACGGAGGCATCCTTCTCCATGGAACAGCTGGTGGCTTTGAACCACTTGAATACCTTTTGCTTTGGAGCCTAATGCTTTAACCACAGAATCACCAGCATCCCCTATGCAGAACAGAACACATCGTATGCACATAATAAGTGACAGCTATCACCAATTTATGGAGCTCTGGTGGCGTAGTAGGCAAGTAGTTGCACTACCAACATAAAGTCGTGTGGTTCGAATCCACCATCTGCTCCTCGGGAGAAAGATGGGCAGTCTGCTGCTGTGTGATTTTCAGACTCCGAAAACCAGTTGGAGGGTCAGCTGTGAGTCAGTTTCGACTCAATGGCATATAACAATAACAACATCGTCAATCTTCCTGGCTCAGGGTAGGGCAGGGTTCAGGGATATTGTTTATAGGGTCACTATGAGTCATTGTGTTTCATTGATTATGCAAAGGCATTTGACTGTGTGGATCATAACAAACTGTGGCTGACTCTGAGAAGAATGGGAATCCCAGAATATTTAATTGTGCTAATGCGAAACCTATACTTGGACCAAGAGGCAGTAGTCAGAACAGAGCAGGGCAACACCACATGGTTCAAAATTGGGAAGGGTGTACGCCAGGGATGTGTCCTATCTCCATAGCTTTTCAACCTGTATGCAGAGCAGATTGTCCGAGAGGCTGGGCTCTATGAGGAGAAGCGTGGTGTTAGGATTGGTGGACGATCTATCAACAATCTGCGTTATGCAGATGACACAACCCTGCTTGCTGAAACTGAGGAGGACCTCATGCACTTACTGCAGAGGGTTAAGGACTGCAGCCTTCAGTATGGACTGAGGCTCAATGTCAAGAAAACAAAGATTCTCACCACTGGACCAATCGGTAGCATCAGGATGGATGGCGAAGAGATTGAGATTGTTCACAGCTTCAGTTTGCTCAGCTCCACGGTCAACACTCTTGGCACCAGTAGCCAGGAAATCAAAAAGCGTATCGCGATGGGAAAGTCTGCTGTTAGGGACCTCTCTAAAGTACTCAAGATCAACGGTGTCTCTCTGGAGACTCAGGTGCGCCTGATACAGGTCATGGTTTTTTTCAATCACTTGTTATGCATCAGAGAGTTGGACAATGACTAGGGAGGATAGAAGGAGAATTGACGTCTTTGAGCTGTGGTGCTGGAGAAGAGTATTGAATGTACCATGGACTGCCAAGAAAATAAATAGATTCATCCTAGAGAGGGTTAAACCAGGCTATTCCTTGGAGGCAAGGATTCTGGGACTTCGTCTGACGTACTTTGGACATGTTATAAGGAGGGACAGGTCCTTGGAGAGGGACATCATGCTTGGTAGGGTAGAGGGACAGTGCAGGAGGGGAAGACCCTCTATGAGGTGGATTAATTCAGTGACTGGGGTGATCGGGATGGGTGTGTCAGAAGCAGTGCGATTGGCACAGGATAGAGCAGGGTTTAGGGCTGTTGTACATAGGGTCGCTATGAGTTGCAAACGACTCGACGACACATAACAACAACAACAACATGAGTCATAGTCAACTCGACAGCACATAAGAGCAACTCCAGTTTTCTAAGGGCCTAACAATTATACATTCAATGAGCTGAAAGGCCGGTGGTTTGAACTCATCCAGAGATACCTTGCAAATAGGCCTGGAGATCTGCTGACACCCCTGGTGGGACACACCCACTCAACCTCAGCTAACAACATCACCAACATCTGTTTTCTAAAGCCAACACCCCAAGGGAAGTTGTACAGTGGGCCACGCACCGTGTAGCTCATCTCGAACTTCCACTTGCAGGCCTGCAGGTCCCACAGGCACAGCAGGGCATCCTCGGACCCGCTCACGGCCAGCTGCTCCTTGTGGCTAACCTCCACGCAGGTGACCCGGCTCCTGTGGGCCTCCAGAGGGAACACCTTGGCATTGGCACACGCGTAGAGAAAGAGGTCACCGTTGGTCATGCCGTAGACCACGCGGTAGTCGGCCAGAACGGCCACACTGGAGATGGTCTCGGGCAGCTGGGTGTAGAAGGTGTAGGTTGGGCCATCGATGACGGGACAGGGGTCCCCAGGGCTGACGTCCAGCACCAGGACGATGTTGTCGTAAGCGATGGCCAGACGCTCCTCGCCCTTGCTCAGCGCCATGCAGTTGATGGCTTTGCGGGCCTCCGGAGGGGGGATGCACACCACATCCTGCCGCGAGTTCAGGGGGGACACGAGGACAATCCCGGAAACCAGGCCAGCAAAGAGGAGCTTGTTCTGTTCGGCCACCTCCAGACACCTGACCTCATTGGATGTGTCCAGGGCATCTTGCTCCTCGCCTGCCAAGAGGAGGAGGCCACGTCAGAAGTTGACCACAAAGGCCTGAATCTACACCCAAATAGGTTCAGAATCTGATCCCTTTGTGTTCTCTAAAAACTGTGGTAGACAGAGACATACATGGAGGGGGACTGGTGGTACCACATGAGGACCCTCTACAAGACAAGAGAAGCCAGGGCTACTGATGAGGGAGGATTATGACTCGATTTGGGCTTCTAGCCTCCAGAACCACAAGAAATCTCTGTTCTTGAAACCCACCCTTTTGTGTTACTTGTGTCACAGCAGCACTAGGGCTCAGCTTCAGGATGGAACTGAGCTGAGCCTACATCCTTGCTTAAGGGTCTTCTTCCCCATTCAGGTCCCCTTCCCCCCTCTCAAGTTTGAAATTGACCTCTACACATCACTTGGGCAAACACCCTGCCTGAGTCTCTGCTCCTAGGTCTCCTGAACAAGAACAGAGATTAGCAACCTGATCACTAAAGAGCCTGTACAGCACAAGCAGTTTACAACAAGACGTTGAACCACAGGTTGGTGGTTCAAACCCACCCACCTATGCTGTACCTCAGAAGAAACACCTGGCAAGGAGCTGCTATAAAAATAGAAAAATATTACAGCTGATAAAACTCTATAAAGAAACTCTACTCTGTAAACACTAGGGTCAGAGGCTGAATGGATAGTAGTTGACAACTAAATGATCCATTGCATTATGCTGGGATTGGTCACATCAAGCTCAGATTTCTATCAGCAGCTTTCAGCCTGGCTGGTGTGACAGGGGCTTCAGTTTTTACAGATACAGAAAACACACGCACGTTTACTTCAATCATACAAACCTTCCGCCAGGTCCCAGACGGTGACTTTGTTTTTGTCCCCGATCTTGGGGAAGTAGACGTAGCTTCCGTTATGGGACACAGCAGTGAGGCCCGTGCGGTCCAGGAATGGGGCAGTGACCCGGGGCTTCTGCGAGTATGTGAGATCCCAGACTTTGAAAGACGAGGACTGTTGGGAAGCAGAGGCCACCAAGGCCCCACCCCGCGAGAGCAGGCTCACAGGGGCCCCGACACCTTCGAGGATGTCCAGCAGGGTCCCCTGCTCCGACAGACTCCACACCTGTGGGTGGAGAACAGACAGGCTACCACGCAGGTTCTCAGAGTGTGTTCCAGTGAACTCGAGTGTCTTTGTTTTCCTAGTCCTGCTGCAACAGAAGTGCTAACAGAAGTACAACAGTAGGCAGTTTAAAAGAACAGAAATCGATGAGGGGGTAGCCTCCGTTTTCATTTGCAATTTGTTAAGTCTCCACAGATGCTAAGTGCAATGTGAGACCCTGGTTCATCCATCCATCATCCATCCATCCATCCATCCATCCATCATCCATCCATCCATCCATCATCCATCCATCCATCCATCCATCATCCATCCATCCATCCATCATCCATCCATCCATCATCCATCCATCCATCCATCCATCATCCATCCATCCATCCATCATCCATCCATCCATCCATCCATC